GGTAGCGTGCGCCTGTAGTTCCAGCTACTTGGAAGGCTGAGGTGGAAGGATCACCGGAGCTCAGCAGGTTGAGGCTGCAGTGACCGGAAGTGACCACTGTACTCCAGTCTGGGTGACAGAGTGAGACTCCAACTCGAAAAAAAAGACTGCAATTTAAGACCCAAGGGTTTTTCTTCTTTAATTATTTTTGTGAAAATATTAGGGGATAGGGAATTCAGATTTAATTCCCTTATCCATTATTACATGTTGTAAAGCAGAAATGTTTGAACAGTACCAGAGAATATCTTATTTATTTCAACAGTAATTATTTCATTTGAATTTCAGCTATACCAACACAAGCAAATTTGATTTCAGAGTGTATTGTAATGAGAATTTACATGTAATCATATTTAAAATAGGCAAAACTAATGGTGAGAGGTTGCAAGTCAGCAATGTGATGTGATTAAAATTCGTATGTTAACATGATGAAATAATTTGGGTGTATTTATTTCTGTTATAGTCGGGCTGTGAAGTTCTTGTTTGAGATTCTCAGTAGTTTTGATAATGAGCAGCAGAGGTTATTTCTCCAGTTTGTGACTGGCAGCCCAAGATTGCCTGTTGGAGGTGGGTATAGTGTCGATGTTCAGCATTTATCCTACCTGTTGATGTATGTATGTGTGAAACTTTGATACCAATAGCGGAATTTTTTTTTTTAAACTGTGTCCCTTAATTATTTCAACATCATAGGTTTTCCAGTTGCAGTACATTAAGAGACCTCTGGCAGGGAGATTCACAGGGATTTTCTTAAATGTTGAACTATGATTATAAATGCACCTGTAGTACTGGTTAAATAAGCATTTGGACCTTATAAATTCTCAGTTGACTTCGGTAAGAATGGATTTTAAAATCTGGTTTTTCATCAGATTGAGTCCTATTATATGTTGGATTGGTACTCTGTTTTAGAAATCATAAGGCATGAAGAACTGTCGCCTTCAAGTTATACAATAATTCAAAAAATATGTAAAGCAGGCTCCATACACCAAATGAATATTGGGCGTATAGTTGTCAAGCTAGAAAGAAGAGAATACCTTGTGTAGGCTGAGGCAGGAAGATCACTCGAGCCCAGGAGTTTGAAGCCAGTAAGCTGTGATTATACCATCACCCTCCAGCCTGGGCAATGGAGCAACAAGACCCTGTCTCTAAAAAATTAAAGAGCTGGATATAGTGTCTCATGCCTGTAATCCCACCACTTTGGGAGGCCAAGGCACGAGGATCGCTTGAAGCCAGGAGTTTGAGACCAGCCTGGGCAACAGTGAGACCCTGACTCTACAAAACGTAAAAAATTAGCCAGGTGTGGTGGTGGACACCTGTGGTCCCAGCTACTTGGGAGGCTGAGATGTGAGCATCACTTGAACCAAGCAGGGTGAAGCTGCAGTGAACTATGATTGGACCACTGCACTCCAGTCTGAATGACAGAGCAAGACCCTGTCTCAAAAAACAAACAAAATCAAAGAATACTTTTTGTATGTGGTAATATTGCATATCAAAGCAGTGTAGTGTTTTCTTATTTTTTTAAACAAAACGTACTAAGTTCCTTGGTCATCTTTTTTTCTGTTAATCAGGGTTTCGGAGTCTGAATCCACCTTTAACAATTGTCAGGAAGACGTTTGAATCAACAGAAAATCCAGATGACTTCTTGCCCTCTGTAATGACTTGTGTGAACTATCTTAAGTTACCGGACTATTCAAGCATTGAGATAATGCGGGAAAAACTGTTGATAGCAGCAAGAGAAGGGCAGCAGTCGTTCCATCTTTCCTGATCACAACAAGAAATGCAGTGTCTGCCTGTTACAGCAAAAGAAACAAATCATGATTTCTTTTCTAAATGTATCACCTGAGTCAAGGAAACATGTTACGCCTTCTTGTTGTAGGAAAAGCGGCTTGCAGATTATAAAAGAGACACTTGATTGATATTCATTAATGGCCCCATGGACTTAAAGTGATCAGGCCCTAAAACGTTGTTGTGATGAGGTTTCTTTAGCAAGTTCTTGTTTAAATTATCATTTATTTGATGAGTGAAGTTTTTAACTTGCTTTGCTGTGTGAAATTTAAAAAAGGGATGTTTTTCCAGGCTGGAACAATAAATGTCGCTGTGCAGTTTAATTCTGGGCTGTGTGTATCCATCTAGCTAAGTCTGCAGTTTTGTTTCCTCCAAAGACAACTCTTGTACATAAGTACAGAAATTAAAGCTCACATGTATTTGACAAATATAGTTTAGTAGACTAGCTCTGTGTGCTTTTCACTTCCCTCTCATTTTCTCTCCTAATTCATTCATTACTGTCTGTGCAGCTCATGGTTTTTTGTTTTTTAATATACAGCACTCACAGTTGTTAAATTTTTGTTAGCCATGGGCTTTTGTTGTCCCGTGTTCTCTCAAATTAAGACATAATTTAAAATTCATTGGATTGGAATATATTGTCGATATAATTCAGCCTTTGTGACTAGACTTTTCGTATAGATTAGTTTTAATCTAGTTGTAGGGTATTACTGGCTCTTTGCCGGGTGACGCACTAGGACGGTTTACACGGCAATTCCGGCAGCAACAGCCTCTGGAATGGAGGCAAGGAAAGCTCACTGATTTCGTTTATGTAGGTTAAAAAGTCCACAGCTTGGGCTGGCCAGTATTTATTATTCTGTGGCCAGAGCATTTTAAATTCATGTAACATTTTAAGCAAAATTAACTGTTTTTTTCCCAGAGTAAAAAATTTTTTCCCTTGCTCAGTTTTAAGTTTTGGTTCATGGTCATCTTTCTTCCACTCTCCTCCTTCCCTTCTTCCAGTGCTGTCTTGGGACAAACAGTTCAGCCTTTGTCTCAACACAGATAAAAGCACCCGTAACCAGTGCTGTCCAGTTGTTTTATGTGCTGATTTCTCAAATCTCCAATAGTCCATCAGGTTAATGTTTTTACCTGAAAGTAAATAAAGTTTGCTTCATCTTTTGTTTATAGTTCTGTGCTGTATGCATAACTTTCAATTGTATAGACGTATCAAGTAAACCATCACATCTCCATGATTTTTGGGTCATGGCTGATGTCGCTATTTAAACAATTTATAATAGCAACCTGAAGAACATAAAATATGAAGAGAAAATGGGAAGACAGTCTTCCCTAAGGTTCAAAATTCAGCCTGTTGTATACATCTGAGAGAATTTTCCATAATTCATCTCTCTGAAAACGAGAGATGAGCTAATTTTCTTATTGAACTTTGAGAAATCAATTTTCTTTTACTGACTGTTCCACAGGTCTTACTTAATTGACACAGAAGTCCTTTCCCTGTTCTGCCACCCCAAGCAAACTTAATGATTTGTTTTATTCAGGTTGCTTTGTCATTTTACACTCAAATGGCCTTATATGGAAACATCCCCTCCTGACAGTTAATTTGGGCAGTGACCCCATTAAGTGGGAGGGAACTGTCAAAGGAGTTGGGGGTGGGGAGGCTCGCCCTGTCGTGGTGAGGACTCTGACAAGTGAGCGGCTTGACCCTGAAATTCAAGAAGGGGATTGCCTTTCTGCAGTTTCATCACTGACCGCATAGAAGCCGCGCAGCTTCATCAAGTGGAATGAAAGACTGAACCAATCTGTTTTCAACTGTTCTGATACCTTTTTACAAACTAAGCACAAAGATTTTTGTGTGAACACAGCATTTTGTTCCTCATTTTTTAAAGGGTCCTGTTAAAATTTAGACATGTATAAACAAAATAATGTTTCATATTAAAATATCTGTACTTGACATTTTAAAATCCATGTTGTGAGGCCCTGGCAGATTTGGCCTTATTGATTCCAGCCTCTGATGAGTACGTACGATGGTTTTGATTCAGACTCTGGAGACTGAGTGTTTCAAAGTCAGTCATTATCTTTCAAAAACTTCAGCCTTCAGCTTACTCCTCTTTCAATAGTGGAACCTTTGGTTAATTTGAGGCAGGAAAACTCTTCTCATTTTGAAGCAATCTCTCTTGGCAGAGGCCTTATTGCATCATAGGGAAAAAGTATATACTTCATTTGCTATTACTCCAGTTATGCCTTAAATTTATTTGCTTAGTCATCTTTTCAACAAACACTAATTTCTTAGGACGCTTTAAACACATAGACAGTTGGGTAGCAACTGAAATTTTGTTGTCCTTTAATTCTTGCTGAGATGGAGTCAGTCAGCTGTTAGTCATGGCTAACACTGAATCTGTGTTGTCATTTAAAGCGTTTGATTTGATCTGCTTTGTATATAAGAACATAGTTTTAGCTCATCTACGTTAAGAAGGAGGAAGTGGTTAAATGTGATCTCCTCTTCCTTTCCCCCCCAAAAGTGAACTGTCAGTTGGAGATAGGCTAATTGGGAGCAGACATGGAGAGAGTTTTAGTGGCCTTAGCCCAACCCAGCAAAAACCTTTCACACAGCCACTTACAAGGAATGAAGATTTCTCCCTTCTCGTGCTTGTCTGTTTCCCTGTGTTTGCAGAGAGAGAACTTTCTTTTACTGTGGTGGTATATGAGAAGGGTAGTATGCTTAAAATCCCTCTTTGCTGGGTTTGAGTTAGGTGCATACCCTGGAAAGAGTGGTGCAGCCTACTGGATGTGGCCACTCACTTCCTGTTCTAGAGTGACTTCCCTGGACATCCTAAACATAAGGGCCAGAAGGCTAGGTGACAGCACTAACTTCTGCATCCAAGAAATGAGATCTGACTCTTGATTTTCCACAATAAGGATTATCACGAGTGAATTGTAAATTTGGCGTCTTCCCTCTGGTTCGTCGGGTGTTGAGGCTATACTCTCAATTGCTATCAGAGAGCATAAGCTCAGGAAATGGGACTGTCGTCGATATTCCATGAAAAACTGTGATTAAAAAATGAGAATTTCTTCATAAAAGTGCATTCATAAAATTGCATTCATAAACTAGATCCTTTTGGGGGGATTCTGGATGCTGTTGTTCATTTCTCCATTAGCAAAGATGATCAAGCCTTCATTTATTTTAGGCTCTGGTTTTTGATCCATTTTGTTTTCCCTGCTGTAATGAGAATGTTGTTTGGAAATGTCATACTTTGTATTTATAATTCTCTGAGAAATGCTTTTGTATGAGTCTTAGGTTTGACATTGCAGTAGTTGACATACATGGTAAAGGATAATCTAGTGACAAATCACTAAAAAATGCTTCCTTTATTACCTCAAAAACAAACAAAAGAATCCAGACAAAATATTGTGTTTATAAATACAGAAAACAGAGAATTGGCTGTTTTCCAAGAACTTCAAGTTAATACTTATGCAAGGAAAAGTTCTTAACACTAAAGACTTGTTCTGCATAAAGGAGACATTCTTTAATAATGGAAGAGGTAGTTTTATTTTTACTACTCAAGCCTACTCATATTTCCAAAACTATAACCAATTGCTGATCTCCTGTGTAAAGCGGTTTTTTTTCCTTTTATCTGAAACAGTGATTTATATGAACTGTTGGAATAATGGAACCTCAAACTACAGATGTGTATGTAAAAAAATTGCATAAATGCACTGACTTCCTTCTCCCTGACTATATTTTTAATAAACAGCATTATCCTAATGGTCAGTTTTATTAAATTATGTACAACTAGAGGGTTCTGAGAGGTGGTATGTGCTTGTATGTGTGACTTTTGTAAAACTGCCTGTTTTTGTAAGTAATGCAGTGATCTTACCTTTTTTTTGGAGGCAGCTAGTAGAGAACACTGTCAGAGACAAATATGTTCAGAGATGGCCTTGCTACTTGCTTATTGATGGAACAACTTGTGTTAAGACACCGCATGCATTGGTGTAGTGTAGTGCCTTTGGCACTGAAAGATACTCGAAAAAGTGCAGGGACAGTAGAGCCTCCTGGTTGGAACACCGTAAAGTCACTGTTCTTGGCTTTCATGACTGGCTGGTCTGCCCTTGACAAATGTCCAGACCATTCTGTTTCACTGAAACAGAAAAAAGCCAAGTAGAATTGATTTAGACAAGCCAAACAGATTTTTATTATGAGTAACGACTAAATTTAGTCTTTGTTATTTTTAAGAGAACAAATTAAATATGTACAGATATATAATACCACCTGTATATAAGAATACCAACCCCCCCCCATTGTCTTGGTATAACTGCATAAGGAGAAAAACACATTTTTCCTTTGATAAATCTCTTGGTTTGTAAAATGACTAAGTCACAGGTGAAAGGTGCTGTTAAATACAAGCTCACCACAAGACTGGCAGTGATGTTTGTAACCAATGTGGTGCTGTCTGTTTTACCAGTCCTGTTTCTGGGTAGCGTCACACTTTTGGTTGATGTCATTACATGGTTTGGTGTTGGCATGTTAATGAGTTACATGGATGAAGTTTTACATCTCAGCGGCAGTTAACTGGCCGCTATTCTGATGAAAAGCAGACTGCTCCTTCAGAGGCCAACGCATACAAAAGCATGAGGCATTTTGAGGGGGGGACATGCAACCACTGCAATGCCCTGAGGCCCATGCCATTCCTTCTTTCTCTCAGCCAGGTTAATCACCTCAAGACTATTTTGGTCTATGTTGCTTCTCCCAGTTCTTGTGAGGTGGGCAATACTGATGCCTGGGATAATGTTGACCTTCTTATGCAAGAAACCACAAGGGAGCAGGTCCCAGAAGCCTCCCTCCCCCCGCCCCCGCCCTTCGCCAAAGGTATACTTAGTCTTTAGTAACTTGTTTTCAGACTTAAGGCAACTAAGTTTTGTAAGCTCAAATGCCCCACTGTGGCTTTGAGGCCCTGGCACATGTACCAGATCCTTGCACTGTCTTTGGGCATTGAGACTATAGACATAGATTTTAACATCCTTGATGTGTCTAAGATACATTGAAATATTTATTCACGATGCTGCGTTAAGAACTATCAGGCCGGGTGTGGTGGCTCGTGCCTGTAATCCCAGCACTTTGAGAGACAAGAGGATTGCCAGAGCCCAGGAGTTTGAGACCAGCGTGGGCACCTTGGGGAGACCTCGCCTCTACAATAAATCAAAAAAATTAGCCAGGCATGGTGGCACACGCCTGTAGTTCCAGCTACTTGGGCAGCTGAGGCAGAAGGATCGCTGGATCTTAGCAGGTCAAGACTGGTAGCTGTGAGCGTGCCACTGCACTCTAGCCTAGGCAACAGAGTGATGCTCCAACTCAAAAAAAAAAAAAAGGAATTTACAGTGTTATTAATAAAATTGTACTAAGGGATAGTAGGACAGAAAACATGAGTCCAGATTGCTACAGGGACAGAACTAATGTTACGTGGGCAGCAGCTGCTGACAGAATCATCTGTAAAGTTGACAGTAATATAAAAAGAGTCTAGTGGTCTCAGCTTGCGGTTTCTTTATTTTGAGTTGGAGTCTCACTCTGTCACCCAGACTGGAGTGGAGTGGCCACTCCCGGCCACCGCAGCCTCGACCTGCTGGGCTCCGGCGATCCTTCCCGCCTCAGCCTTCCGAGTAGCCGGAATTACAGGCATGCGCTACCACGCCCGGCTGATTTTTTGATTTATTGTAGAGATGAGGTCTCGCTGCCCAGCTGCGTCTCGAACCCGCGGGCTCAGGCAATCCACTCACCTCAGCCTCCCAAAGGCGCGGGATTACAGGCTGAGCACCGAGCCCGGCTTGCGGTTTCTTAATGAGGGAATTTGAGCCTTTGTTAAGACTCGTTCGTCCAGCCAGTTCTATTCCCAAAGTGTATCCTTAAATCATTTAGAGTAGAACATGTAGCTCTTGGAATTCAGACAGAGTCCCTGATGTCGTGATAACTTGCACAGACCTGTGTAAAGAGCTTTGTGAAAATGGAGTTGGTGGAGCAGAGAGAGTCCTGGAGTCAGAAGACCTGATTTACCCCTAGCCCCACTCTTCTAGTGAGCGAAGCAACTCCTAACCTCATCAGGCCTTAGTCTCCACGTTTGTCAAACCAGCTCAGTGGTCTCTAGGTTTATGTTTTAATGTTAATATTCTTACAGCCTTATGTGTGAGTCCTTAAAATGTCTTCTGGTGTTTCTTAACAAGGCATAGGCATTTTGGTTGGCACAATTCTTCCTGGTAGAGGGTTATGGCAAAGCCCCGAGTGTCCTCAGTTTCTGCTTCTAAATGTCAGTAGCACCTTCCAGTCATTATGGAAGTCATTATGAAAACTCAAAGGCCCCCTAATACTCTCAGGTATCCCAAATACCCAGGGTATTATATTCTGATTGAGAAATTGTGACTGTGTGTTGCAGTTTTTGGAAAGCATTTAGATTTTATTTTGTTTTTTGAGACAAGGTCTCGCTCTGTAACCCAGGCTGGAGTGCAGTGGTATGGGCTCGGCTCATTGCAGTATCCATCATCCACCTCCTGGGCTCAAGCAATCCTCCTGTCCCAGACTCTGAGTAGCTGGGACTACAGGCACATGCTGTCATGCCTAGCTATTTGATTATTTTTTGTAGAGATAGAGTCTTACTATATTGATCAGACAGGTCTCAAACTCCTGGCCTCAAGCCATCCTACCGCCTCAGCCTCCTGAGTAGCTGAGACTATAGGTGTGCATCACCACGCCCTGGCGAATTAAAAAAATTTTTTGTGTGTGTGGAGACAGCATCTTGCCCAGGCTGGTCTCAAACACTGATCTTTAGCAATCCTCCCACCTTGGCCTCCTCAAATGGTGAGATTACAGGCATGAGTCACCACACCTGGCCCTACATTCAGATTTTATATTCCCATAATTGTAGTTGGTAACAAATCAACCTTTTTCAGAGTTTATGGGTAGACATGAGAAGAAGGATAAGAAGAGGAATGTAAAAGTTACTTTCCTAGTACAAAAAAAGGGCCACAATTCTGTAATCCCACTCAGACACACGTCTCTTGCTTCCCCCTTCTATTAGGAGGACATCATCTTACCACTCTGGCCTCCCACATGAGTGAGAACTTCCACTTGTTTATAATGGACCTAATTTTAAGAAGTAAATTCAGAAAATGTCATTACAATTGTCCCTTTTTCCAATTTAAAAACAGTCTTGCTTAAACTCATTGAGAAAAGTTTAGTAGTTCTTATGAAGATGTTAAGCATTCCACCCAGGCTTTTCAACTTCCTAGACCTAAATCAAAATAAGTGTGTCTCTAATCATTATAGACTAATAGACTAGGCAAAATAAGTTTTCTTTCCTCCATGGACAATTTATTGCTGTAATGGTTTTGTTTGCCCCCATCATTATTCTGATCCATAGCATTCTGGATGGATGGAGAGAATATGAAATCCATTTTCTCCCAATGCATTAAATGGTGTTTTGGTGTTTAGAAGGAAAAAGTCACAAGTTTTGTGGTCTGACATATCATCTTCCCTACCCACCTCACACCCATGGGAGTGGGCAAGGGTGGTGTCTTAGTCCTTTTTGTGCCTCTATAACAATACCACAGACTGGTTAATTTATAAAGAAAATAGATTTCTTTGACTCATGTTTCTGGAGACTGGGAAGTCCAAGAGCATGGCCCTGGCGTCTGCTGAAGGTTATCCCACAGTGTGAAGCAAGTGAGCATGGAAGACAAAAGGAGGACAAATTCCCACAATAGCTAAACCACTCTTAACAGCATTAGGTTGGGTACGGTGGCTCATGCCTATAATCCCAGCATTTGGAAGGCTGAGGTGGGAGGATTGCTTGCGGCCAGAAGTTCAAGACAGCCTAGCAACATAGTGAAACCCTGTCTCTGACTTAAAATAAAAATTATAATAATAATAGTAATAATAGTATTGATCCATTCATGAGGGCAGAGCCCTTATGACCTAATCACTTCCCAAAGGCCCCACCTCTTACCACCCCCACAATGGTAGCCATGTTTCCAACATATGTACTTTTGGAGGACACATTCAAGTCATGACAGATGAGATGAGGTATCTCTTTAGTCACTGATCAATTTGTATTCATCACAAAGTGAATTAAGAAACATGGGTTGTTTTTTTAAGCTAATTGTTTTCTCTTTACATGGAGGTTTTCATTTGAATCTCATGGTCAACTAGGCATATTACAAACATTTTAGGATTTTGTGTTCGTTTTCCTGTTTTACCATGCTATGTTGGTTTTAAGTCTATGGTGCCTGACATAATACCTGGCATTGAATGACACTCAAATCGTCATTGAAGAAATGAATGAATGTTTCTGGACTATAGTGCTGTTTCCTTTTTTTGTCGATCAGGATGTGCAGTCTGTGCTCTTTTACTTCAAAGATTTTAGAGTCCAGGTAGAAAACAAAATGAAGCTGAAACAACTATGTATACATTTAACTGCTAAATTATGGAGATTTATAAAAATCCAGAGGAAGGCTTGGGGTCACCAACAGTCAGAATCGCACTGAGTCTGAAGACCCAGCTCCTGACATCACCACCACCTGCAACAGCAGCAACAGCCAGGCCTATGATAAGAAGTGATACTTGTCCTTTGCCAAGTGTTCTGTTGACATGGTCCTATTTAGTTGTGGCAAACAGTTCACTTGGGCCAGCGTAGAAAAAACTGAAATAAATCAAAGTCGTTGTAGAAGTTAACTTAAAATCATGACAAGGTAAAATAAGTTAGGAAATAGCAGGCATATCAG